GTTTATGTTTGAGAGAGAAAGAGAGAGAGAGAATGAGCAAGGTGGGGGGAGGAGCAGAGAGAGAGGGGGACAGAGGATCTGAAGCAGGCTATGAGCTGACAGCGGAGAGCCCGATGCGGGGCTTGAACTCACGAACCATGAGATCATGACCGGAGCCGAAATCGGATGCTCAACTGACTGAGCCACCCAGGTTCCCCACAAAATAAATAAAACATTTAAAAAACAATAAAATAAAATGGTTAATTTTATGCTATGTGAATTTCTCCTAAAAAATGTTATACAAATATTTGATATGTGCGCTTTCATTCTACAAGTCAGATCCAAGTCTTTGGAACTCCAAAGTCCAGGGTGTCCTTGCAAACCCACACTGGAGAATGAAGGAGGGGTGGTATTAATGTAGTGCAGAAAAATAAAACATGTGCCTTAGAATCAGACATGCCTAGGGTCGCCTGGGTGGCTCAGCCGGTTAAGCCTCCAACTCTTGGTTTCAGCTCAGTTCATGATCTCACAGTTGTGGGATGGAGCCCTGCATCGGGCTCTGCACTGGCAGCATAGAGCCTGCTTGGGATCCTTTCTCTCCTTCTCTTTCTGCCTTTCTCTCTCTCCCTCATTCCTTCCCTCCCTCAAAAGTAAATAAATAAACTTAAAAAAAGAAAGAATCAGACATGCCTAAGTGTGGGCCCCTGCTCCCCGCCATTAGATGGCTGTGTGACCTCAGGCAAGTTACTTCACCTCTCTGAACCCATTTGCTCATCTGTTAAATGCATGATTGATGGGGACTATTCACTGAGACCCACAGCTCAGACCCATAAGACATGGAGGCAATGACAGAAGTGGGCTGAGTGCAAAGGGGTGGGGGGAGGGTCAAGATTCCAAGCCATACAAATTCCAGAAAGATGCAGATGACCAACACATATCCCCCTTTTTCCAATGATCCCTTGCTGGCAGGGCTTGCTCGTCGGTAAAGGTTATTCCTGCAACAGACAGGTTCAAGGCCAATTCAGAGCAGGTTGGGAGCAAAGCAAACACTACAGCCTTATCTTGGAGACATGGTATGGGTATAAAGAGAGAGGCAGTAGGTGGCTTTAGTCCTTTCTCTTGCTCGGCAACTTAACAGGATGAAATTCCTTGTGCTGGCTGCTCTGCTTACAGGTAGGTGAGTCTCCTCAGCTCAGCGCTAAGATCTCACTTCTCTGGAATGGGGGTCACAGGTCACAAGGCTGGCCAGCCTTGGAGGCTTTTTTGGGGGCTCTCTATGGGGCTTAACAGCTCCCATAACAAATTCCCCCACAGTTGGCACCTTTCCAACCTTCAGGTCCAAATTCAGATGACCCTCCTCAGAAGGGCCTACCTGCCCTCTACCATATTGCCTTGGCCTGGGGTCTTCCCAGCACCTACATTTGCCTGCAATTTGTATCTTGTTTCTTGTTGATGCATTCCCTTTTCTTAAAGCTTTAATTTTTTTTTTTTTTTTTTCGGTAAACTCTACCAACACGGGGCTTGAACTCACAACCCTGAGATCAAAACCTGAGCTGAGGGGCTCCTAGGGGGCTCAGTCGGTTAAGCATCTGACTTTGGCTCAGGTCATGATCTCACAGTGCGTGGGTTCAAGCCCCGCATTGGGCTCTGTGCTGACAGCTCAGAGCCTGGAGCCTGCTTTGTTTTGGATTCTGTGCCTCCTTCTCTCTCTGCCCCTCCCCCACTGGCACTCTGTCTCTCTCTCTTTCTCTCACACAAAAATAAAATAAATATTAAAAAAAAAAAAGACCTGAGCTGACATCAAGAGCTGGACACTTAACCGACTGAGCCACCCAGGTGCCCCTCCTTTTTTATCCTCCACCCATATTGAAGTATGGGCTCCATGAGAGCAATGATAGAGCTGTTTGCACCATTTATTGAATGAATCCATGGAATCAGATATATTGGAATTCAAATCCCACCTCATTCATCCATTCAACACTGATATATCAGAGCCTCCAAGGTATCAGGCTCTGGGTTGAGACTGAGGACTTCTAGATGGACGAGTTCCCCTCCCCTCCCTCCACACACACACAGGCACACACGTGAAAATTAGCTTTGTGTAGGTCTGGCCTGTGCAAAGAGCAGAGCTGGCTGGATCAGAGACTGAGAAAACAGGGAAGCAGGCGGCGGGGGGGGGGGGGGGG